TCCAAAAACTCAAAAGCCCAAAATATTACTTCTGGGCCATCATGAATTCCAAAGTTACTGCTGGGCTATTCTAGTGAGTTTTTTTTTATTTTTATGAAACACTATGACAATAATATTTTATTTTTTAAGATAAGATAAATTATTGTACAATTTAAATTATATTAAATTATATTTTCTGATGCGATACTTTTATTCTTCTACATACATACTTCAGCAAAAATTGAGGAACATAAAAAACTTGCTCACAATGCTGTGGAACCTGATGGTAGTTCCACTAAAAATTCCGAAAATCTGGGAAAGATTATCAGCAATCACGCAAAAGATCGTTGCCCAAAAAAAAAAAAAAAGGCAAAATTGGTAAAAAATTAAAAAAAATTATACACAAAAGAAACACTGTGAAAAGTACGATCCAAGTCGCATCAAAACCGTTCAAATTCAGAATCGAACGGCAGAGAGTGCACAGTAGGAGTGAGCACATCTTTTTCCTGCCTCATTCTCACGACCAATGCAGGAGAAGAAACACATTCTCGTTCCTCAAGACGAAGGTGAGCAGTACCCTCAGAAACCCTCTCATTCCCGTTACGCATATTCATTTATCTTATAATCTGAGCAGAAATTTCGTTTCTTTATGTGGTTCCAGAGATCTGTTGTTGTGCTTAGATGTGGTAGGTAGTAATTGAGTATTCTTGTTGCTTGTTCTGTTTTTTTAAATTGTTGTGATAATGTTAAATATCTACGTGTTTGATCTGTTTGGTAATTGAGAAAAGAGGAGACTTCCCTGGTAATTTCTTGGTACAAAAGAAACAAAAATCTGTCTCTCATTGACTAGGTCTCACCGCTGCTTTTTTCAGCGTGATTTGGTGTTGAAAAACTTAAATTAAACTGTTTTCACTGGAAGGTAACTGTGATTATTTTAGAATATTTTAGCTCATTTTAAAGCCTTCCCGAGTAGCTCCTCAAAATTTGGCTTTTTAGCACATTTGGTCCTTGAGATTAGCAATTAAAAAAATTAATTTCTTTAAATATACTATTTAACGTAGGGTGTCCCACTGAGATTATTTAGGGTGCTGTCCAGGGCCTGAAAGCTTGCGTAGACACCTGTAAATATCCCCCAAAAAAAAAAAGAGAAAAAGGGGGTTTTCATTTAGCAACGCTTTTATGCTTTTCCAAACTGGACACTTTGCAAAAAGTGCTAATTAATAATAAGCATGAATAGATACTCATTGTAACACTGGACATCTTGTTGCTTTATTTGGGGCAACCCCAAATCTGTATCTTTGCTAAGTATAATCAACTTGTTTGCAATTTATTTTTTTTCCTCATAATATGATTTTCATAGGCTTGGGATGCACCATGGTGCATCTTGAAAGGTTCATTTAAATTAACGGATTTTGGACCTTAGGAGTTGGAGGTCAGTGCTTCATGCTTTTAAATGCTCCATTCTTCCCATACTTTTATTCTATGTTGATTGTATACTAACACCATTTGCACATTACTATCCTGTATAAACAAATTCTGGTCTATAATCTTTACATATATATATATATATATATCTGATTTGGACAATATAACTACTTACTTCTTTGCCTTTGTTTCCCCTTTTTTATCTTCTTATTTCTCTTCATTCTGTTTATGTTCTAGGCTTCTTTGGCATGGCTTTCTTATTAAGATGTGTTTATGACCATTCATGTTATGACTTAGTTTATTCTTCTATATTGAAGTGCATTCTCTGTAAATGTTGGATTCTTAATTTGACTTCAAGCGTTCAGCTGTATTCATGGATGGTTTAGGGTGATAAATTTTGTATATAATTAACTCTCTAAAATGATTGTCTAGAATCGTGAATTCTAGTCTCCAGAGCTTATTGTAAAAGCTGGTCTTATCATTTTCTGATTGTGGCCTTCATTACTCCATCACTTAAACTTTTGTTATCTTCTGTTTCAGAGTAAGGGATTTCAATGGCAGGATATTCAGATGATGACTCAGTTGGAGGGTATTCCGATGATCAATATTCAGCTGGAGGGTATTCTGATGATCAATACTCAGCTGGAGGATATTCTGATGATGATCAACATTCAGAGGGAGGATATTCTGATGATGAGCAGCATGCAGCATCAGAAGATTTTGATGATGATCAAGATGCACCTAGTGGGTTTAACAACCCGTGACAACAACTAAAGCATGTGACTACGGTGGCAAGCAGACTATTACCTACAATTATGAGGCAAGGCCAAGTGAACATTCAGGCACCTATAACGGACTGAAAAGGCTACTTATGTGGACAAGCAGACTGGTGGCTTTACTCACACTACAGCCAAAGAGGTTATCTCCACTGGGGATACCTTCAAGGAGAGAGGTTCTGCTAGTAGAGTTGGCACGAAGAATGAGTACATGACTGCAAACACCATGAGGGTTGGGGATAAAAGTGGCTATTCTGAATACCGGGTTCAAGAGAGATTTCGCACTGTTGATTATGGTGGCAACAACAGCAGCAAGAGCTGCTATCGTGGTGGATCAAGTATTAAAGTAGTGTTTTTATGCCCGGTCTTTCCAGTGGTGGATGTAGTTTAGTCCTGCTTCCCTATCTTTAATGAACTTTAAGTTTAGTTGTGGTTGAGCACTTGCTGGATGCAGTAGTTTGGTGCTTCTTTACCATTAATGTTTAACCTTTTACTTTATTGTCAAATAGTTTCAGGACATGGATTTCTTCTTTGGTGTGTTCCATGCTGATTATGCGCAGGACATGAATGCAATATGCTGGGTGTTAATCTTACTAAATTTCTAATGATGTCTCTGATCTACTTTTGCTTGGAAGTTTGCATTACTTGTAGTTAATTTTGCTTGATGAGTATGCTCGTAGACTGCAACAAAGACACCATTGATTGGGGGAATGAATGGCCTCAAACCTTTCTGTTTTCTGTAGCTTGATTTTTGGCCATCTCTGAGTTCATTGTGATTCGTGGAAAGTGAAAGGGTATTGTGGACCCTGCCGTATTGGACCCAAACTAACCAGTGTGGTCCGTGGCCTTGCCTGCTTTCGATTGCCAAGTACCAACCGTACCGGGACAAGTATATGTCTTTCCTGTTCCCATCCTATCCACCGGCGTTATCTCTCTCAAAAGTCAAAACTACACCTTTTTTTTCCCGGATTCCGGTGACCGCCATCCCTCTTTTTGTTCAGTTCTTTCTCTGCATCTCAATCCATTGTTTATTTTTTTCATCGCCCCTCTAGGTCAGTCTT